TCGCTGAACTAGTGCACCTATACAATTTACCATTGTATTGGGTGTGTTGGGGACACAAGAGACTCTTTGTTATTTGGTTGCAGGGTTGCTTGAGAGAGACCATCTTCATCCTACGCCTCCCATAGATTGATAAATCTTAGGCCATCCACTTGAGGGAAATTTGCTATTGTCCTACAAACCTCTGCACTTGGAGGCCCAACAACGTCTACAAGAAGAAGGTTGTGTAGTAGACATCACTTTGCTGCAGTCTTCAAATTTGCTATTTACAAGTGTTCTTGCCATTTCAATAATGCCCTCTTCAGTCAGACGCGGAGAGCTATGGTGTAAGGGATCGTCTGTTCCTTCAGTATAAGTATACATCAAGCCAGATCGGCGGCTTAAGGGTATGATCCACCATGTGACCCAGCAGCGGATTAAATCGACTCCAGTTAAACCGTTTCCCAGCAAGGCTTGGACTTTTCTGATTGTAGGGACGAGTTTCTTGCGCTCGGCGATGGTAAGTTTCTCAGGGAGTTGATAACTTGAGTCAAGCCGTTCAGCACGATAACCCGACAATGGATTTTCATCAGACGCCGAGGTATCCTTATAGTAGAACCATGTTTGATTCCAGTCCTTGGGGTGACTCGGTAGAGCTGCTTGAGGGAAGATGGCGTCTCTTCTGCGTTGAATTGAAATTCCACCAAGTTCCAAGCTGGGCCCGTTTGTGAACTCATTTTGCTGGTTCAGATAGAAGTATTCCCTGAAAAGCTCAACACTAGGCTCTTCTTGAAGGTATACCTCACAAAAAATTTGAAAGTTACAGATGTTTGACACGGAGTTGGGTCCAATGTCTTGCGGATGGAGTTTGAAGAAGTGCAGAACATCCCTAAAGAACTTCGAGCCGGGCGGCGAGAAGCCCCGGTTCATATGATCAGTGAATACAATGACTTCACAGTCCTTTGGCTGAGGTCTCTTTTCGCCCGGGTCAGGAGCACGGTAATGCATGACACTTTTCTCTGGCAAATATCCAACGGTGACAAAATCTTTTAAAGTACTCTCAGTGATGATGGAGGGAACCCAGTTACATGTAGTAACTGTCTTTGACGGCATGGTGAAAGGACAACCTAAAGGAAGGAAATAATTTGCCAGCTCAAATTAGTTGGTGAGATCACAAGTTAACAATTGTAGTGCATGTTCAGAATGGCGGCTTAAGCGAGGGCTAATGATATATGAAGTAACGATAAGCCAGCAAAGAAAGCCGCCATGACTAAGATATTCAAGGTCTACCAAGAGTGAAATTTGCTAAGTGTTGGGGCAAAATAGGTTCCACAGATTAAAGCTATAATTTCGGATCTGCAGTTGTTTAGAAAAAGGAAATAAATTCTAAATTTACAGAGGTGGCAGAAAAAAAGTGGAGGTGCCCCAGAAGAGATCTATCGCAATGAGGATATGTTCTAAATATCAAAGGCGGGTGCTAAGACTGCTACCGCACATGACCTACCTTATTTTTGGATCAAAGCTACACGATCTAGCAAGAAGAAGGAGGAGGAGTGATGAACATCGACGAACACCGAAAGCCTAAAAAAACAGATCCATGAAAAGGAAAAGGGGAGACTTACTAATGCTAGTTGACAGTGGAGGAGTGCCTTGGCGTTTCTGGACTGTTCAGGGCGATGCAGCGTCCGGAGTTGATGAAGGGGACGGAGGTCGACGGTGGCGGAGCTCGTAAGGGCTGGTGCGTCACGAGGAAGAAGAAGACGAGAAGGAGAAGAGAGGAGAATGCGGAAGGGGTGGTCTGACCCTATTTATAAGGAAAAGAGTAACATGCAGGCACGAAAAACTAGGAGGCCAAATGATGATTATCCAGGTAATTAAACGCCTCGAGTTTCGGAAGGTCATTAAGGTTAAAAGATCCGTTAAAAGATGATGTCGTGGCGAGTTTTCGAAATTTTCGGAGATGACATCATGGCGGGTTACAATGTTTTACTAGCAGAGGAAGAAGGATTTTTTTTCTAAGTGTTGAAGATTGACCTGAACAAGTTCAAATCAACCTGGGGCCTAATATTGGGGATATGACTATCAGGTATGACCCGCCCAGGAGGGGCTAGGTCAACCACAATGACGGTTCATCCTAGAAGCCCAAGAGAGTATACCAGACGAGGTTCATAGATAGGCTGGTAAGAGGCCCAAGCCCAGAGACGGCTTAAGGCCCGTAAGTGTAAACCGCCATGTATGAGTAGACTTGTAATATAAGGCATGTAAGATACGTCAGCGAGCCAGACATGTTGTATGAGCCGGCCGGGACTCTGTGAGCCGCAGGGCGTCAACCCGTGTATATAAGGGGACGACCCGGCAACGGCTTAGGACAAGAAACATCAAATCGAGAGCCAGGCCAAGCGTGTTTGCTCCCTGGTAATTGAAACCCTAGCAATACCACCTCAACTAGAGTAGGCCTTTACCTTCACCGCAAGGGGCCGAACCAGTATAAACTCTCTGTGTCCCTTGTCTCGTTTAACCCCTTTAAGCTAACCTCATCGCAATGGTTCCACAACTAAGTCCTTCCATGAGGACATCTACCGTGACACTTCCACGACATGCGGCTTTCGACTACAGACTGGACCAACTCTCTTTTTTCTCTCATTGCAACGCCGGAGACCATCGCTAGGTGTCAAGGTTCCAAAAAATCCGATGATGACCCGACTAGTCCTTGGCATGAATCACCCAGGTAAGCTGTGTGGCCCAAAGTTTATGCATTTGTCGCATGCTCCAAAGCAATAAAGCCACACGAAGCTTGAAGGTTGGACTAAGGGCATCTCCCATGCCATGCCTTTAAATGGCCGCAAACGTCTGGGCCGGTGCGTCCAGATCAGTTTTGCCATCCAACGCGGTGCCACAAACGTCTATTGGTCTCGTCCGCGTCCAAATCCCTGCAAACTAGATGCAAAGTTAGAAGAGGTTTGCGGGAGTATGGACCTCCACCACGTAGGACTATGACAACCCGACCCTCCCAACGCCCCAACCAGAGCAAATGCATTTTGCACTACGTCCCTCCCACTGGCTCTATATCTGATCCCTCACAGGCCAATGTCACCGCTCTGCCACCCTGGCCGCCCGTCCAGGACTTGCTGGACCTCCGCCATTCCACCCGGGCACTAGACCCGCTTTGCCGATGCTGTCGCGCGCCCCTCATCGTGCCTCCACCATCCAGGTACCCACCGCCCCTGCGGCTACCATCCATGGCAGACAACACGTCTGATAAGTATTTTTGCAAATGGCATTGCCAAGTTGTTGACAATTTTTCTTGCTTTGGAGGGAGCACAATGGATTTGGAAGATGAGTACTCTACAATAACTTCATGGAGTTGTCCTCACTCGACGAGGAGGACGAATATGAATATGAAACGACAATAATACGGGCGGTCCTATCAGATGTGGAGCGTACGGAGGAGCATGTCTTGAATTTCAAGGGATCGATCAAGGGATATCCGTGTTGAACCTGAAGAGGGCACGTGGGCATTTGATGTTGGTGGGCGACTTCTTTGCCCCGGATGCCCTATTCGTTGATAATTTTCGCCGGCACTTTCGGATGCGGAGAAATGTTTTTGATATGATGGTATCCAGGCCTATGATGACTACTTGACCTTGAAGAAGAATGCCATCAGAAAAAATGGATTCTCCGGTTAACAGAATTGCATGTTTGCATTGAGGATGCTTGTCTGTAACACTATCGCGGATTCATAGAACGAGCACCTCTGAATGTTTGAAAGCACATGCGAAGTTGCCATGGTGAGGTTTGCTCCTGTGGAGGTTAAGGTGTTCGGGGGACAACACTTGAGAGAACCAACTATTGCAGACACCGAAAGACTCATGGCGATGCCGGAAACAAGAGGGTGACCAGGTAATGCTCGGATCCCTTGATCGAATGCACTTGAGATGGAAAACTGCCCATATGCTCTACAAGGACAATATTAGTGCTATGTTAAGAAGCTCACCATCATTCTTAAAGCGGTTGCATCACAGGACCTATGGATTTAGCACGCTTTCTTGGCATGCCTGAGTCTGACAATGACATCAACATGATGCATATGACTTCATTGTTTGTTAGGTTGACTGAAGGGTGGGCTTTCCGTGTAACTATACTGTCAATGGCAATGACTACAACATGAGTTACTATCTGATTTATGGTATCTATCCTCAATAGACGACCTTCGTCAAGACCATCTTTGAGTCGGTTGGTGAGAAAATAACTCACTTTGCCCAAAGACAAAAGGGGCTAGAAAAGGATATGGAGAAAGCACTCCAACCCGTTTTCCAGCTCTTCGAGAAGCTAAAAAATATGGGATCCTGAGATCTCATGTGAGGTGATGACAACTTGTGTCATCACGCACAACATTACTGCGGAGGATGACAATGAAGGAGCCGACGGAGATATGGATTTTGAGAACGTGAGTGACCCCATCCAACTTCTAGCTCAGAGTTTGTCCCATTGCATCAACAGATTTGACATGGAGCAACTTAAGAATAATCTGATTGAGCATCTATGTTAAAGAGGATTCAAGTTTGACTATTTTATGTAGAAACTTATTAATGTTTGAATTGTACTCCCTCCATATCATAATATACTTCATTTAGCAGTATTTTAAATTTAAACTATACTTTATTTTGAAGTATTGCGGACTTAAAAAGAAAAAGAACATATAGTACCGAGTCCGGGACGGTGTTGTTGACGTCTTGTGTTCAAGAAAGCGGACTTCAAACTAGCCGCTTACCACGACACGTGGCAGGACGAGAGAAAACGCAACGGACACGGGGGACGGATCACTCCCGGTTCCGGGTCCGCCTTCCTCTCCAATCCAGCTTTCGCCTCACGGCCTACAAAGAACCGGCCCCCGTCCTCCGTCTTCCCCTTTCCTACCTCCCCTCGCCGCGCCGCGCCAATCAAACCCTCGCCGCAAGTAAGAAATCGAGGGGCGAAATCCAAAACCCCGCCAGCCAGCCGCCCACCCACCCGGACCCGCGGCCATGGTGGTCTACACGCAGGAGCACGTCTACCGGCACCCGTGGGACCGCGTGACGGCGGCGGCGTGGCGCAAGTTCACGGACCCGGCCTCCCGCACGGCGCTCTCCCACGTCGCCGACGTGCACACCCTGCAGCGCCGCGTCGACACGGACGCCGGCCGCCTCCACGCCGCGCGCTCCATCACCGTCCGCTCCCCGCCGCTCCCCTTCATCCTGCGCCGCCTCCTCCCGGCCGCCGCCGCCTCCCCCTCGGGCGCCGCCATCTGCCACTGCGTCGAGACCTCGGTCGTCGACGCCCCGCGCCGCGCCATGGACGTCGTCGTCCGCAACGTCAGCCTCCGCGGGATCATCGAGGTCGAGGAGCGATCCACCTTCCGCCCCCACCCGGACCGCCCCGACGACTGGACGCAGTTCAGGCAGGAGACCACGATCCGGTGCCGCCCGCTCGCCAAGCTCGCCGCCGTCGCCGAGAAGGTCGAGACCCGCTGCGCCGAGAGGTTCCTGCAGAACAGCGCCAAGGGGAGGGAGGTCGTCGAGCGGATCTGCCGCTACCTCGAGGCCGAGGCCGCCGGTGCCGCGCCTTCCGCCGTCTGATCCGGCCTGGTTTGTGCCCCCTCTCTTGGTCGTTCTGGATCTGATCGAATCGAAGGTTTCGCTGGATCTGTGCTGCGGCTGAAGACCCAGGCCTCGCATCGAGGCCTTTTTTTGTTTGTTTTTTTAATTTCATTTTGTTTTTGTATATGAGCTGAATCCTGAATGGAATAAAGCTTGTGAGCATAGACTTCATTGCTGTGTTGTATGTGGAGAAATTTTAACCCTCTTTTGCGCATATTCTTGATGAGCTACATTCTGATCTGCAACTCTGAAACCGCTGCATCTTATTGCGCTAATTTGACAAATTGGGTTAAATGTTAACCCTGCTGTTGTCATGGGCTATCTGTGAAGGGGCTATTCTATTCTGTGACATGTTGGTTATTGAATATGGAAGATGAGTAACTATGCGATTTAACATAGATGTGTTTGTTTAGCTGATTAGTAGAAATCTATCTATGGCGCAATTGTGCTTATACCTTTGACTAATCTAGAACTTGTAGTATGCTAATGTCCCTAACAGCAAATAAGCCTGCAGCTCCTTGGATGCCTAGAAAGATTACGGCAGTGGTTGATTCATCTTCTGTTCTTGGCCCAATATAACTTGACTTGGATAGACCATGGACAGATTTCATGTCTGTTTTCATGGTTGGTAAGTAGTTATGTTGAATTAGTTTAGTTGATCTCCTTGAGTTCTCGCAATTAAGAATTAAGATAGCTTGGAGTTCTTTTAAATGCAGCCTGCCTTGAACAAAAAAATGTTGAGGCTGCTTACTAGCTTCTGTGAGAATGATCTTTGTGCTGCGGTTTTATTATGACGTGTTTCTTTACTCCTGAAAAAACCAATGTATTCTGTCCGCTGAATGCTTATAATTGGGCATTAGAGTGACCTGAATTTAGTTGCATAGTTTCCTGGAGGGATGAAAATATAATGTGTTGTGAGATGTTTGGATCTCAACAATAATAAGGATTACATTTAGCCATCCTTTTATACTCGTACATGTCTATATCCTTCCCAACTAGATGCAGCTTCTACTTTCTTGTGATGATCAATTGTTAGTTCCATTTGATCGGTTTCAATGATAGTTCAAATGATTTAATTCAACATCTTTGTTAGGGGCAATGTGGGTATGGGCAACCACTTAGCTCAGAAAACACCTAAACCAGGAATGCTCGGTATGCATTTTTGTCGGCGGAAAATTGTGCATTGAGCCAATCTAGTAGATTTGACTCTATTTTGGCCTGCCTATGAATTTGTTGCTTGGTTTTTAAACCTCATATTTAGCTTTCTTTGCTTGATTTGACTCCAACATTTATCTGTGCAGACAACATTCGCACATACGAACGCTTGATCTGAATTATGAACTGTGATGCCAACAGTTGCTAAGATCATTAGTTATTATGTATACCACTGGGTTTACCCACAGCAGCCTCATGTTTTAGTAAAAGATGATGTGATTTACTGCTGGTCACATATATCCTCGCTGGCGTAAATTCAGTGTCTTGCCTGACTGTCTGCATGGTAATAGTTCTCCTCTGTTTTATTGTGCTCCAATTTTGCCGAGACAGATCATCATGTTTCCGTACTGTGTTTTGAAATCTGTGGATTTAGTATGTTGCTGTCGCTCAGGAGAAATGCAGCTGCATATCTGTTTTATTTCTGATTTATAAAGATTTTGATATAGCTTCGTTCAGTTGAGCCATTCCTTTGTGCTTTCGATATAATCGGTTACGCCCCCAGAACCAACCTGACAGAAACATGTATGTATGCGACAGTTTTCATGGATATTTACCTGACTATTAGTAAGCCATAGATACTTAATTGATGAAATCGAACAAAGCATAACTTGTACATCTACTGAAATGCATCCGAAGTTCCTAGCAGTTAAAAAGCTCTTATTCCAAAAGGGATAATTTGGCAAGCGCGTTGTGTTTTTCTTGCCTCCTCTGATTCTTCCATACAAACTCAAGTGAAACATCACCGACCTCTTTTATTTCTCTGAGCTTTATACATTCTGGGCAATTCAAATTTATTACATAGGTTTGTATGCAGAAATTAAACAAGATTCAAACTCCATGCAGAGAGGTGAACCACAACCAGAATCACCGCCAAAATCAGAACAAGAAAGCATATGGCCTGGCCGGGGCACTTCCATCAGAACATCCAAATGTTGTGTGCACCAGTCCTTCAGATTCTCCAGTACTCAAACTCGGTCTCCTCGGCACCACTAAAGAAGCGAGAATGATAGTCCTCCGAGTCACAAGGCTCCACATTGAAAAACCAACAGTCAGACTCTTCACCATTGCTGCGATACCACCAATAACTATCCTGATGAGAATGACATCTACTAACAGGGCTGCCAGGCTCGAAATACTTGGAAGAATCATCGATGGAGTCATCATGGATGCCAGACCGAGGACACACCCAGTCATCAGTTGGCGCATATGGAGATACCTTCTTCATCTTGACACGGGCACACTTTGCTCGCATGCTGCTGTCCATGATTATGTTGCCGCAATAGCGTATGTCAAGGGACTCGTGGTGAGGGCAGCCGCCAAGGATGGCTGTCAACCCTTGGTTGTCGAGGCCACTGAGGAAAATCTTCAGGGACCGTAGCTCATGCATCCTTGCAATTGCCAAGGCTTCGCGGTTGTCGACAGGGTATAGATCCCGTCCCCAATTATACCATGAATATCCTCTATCATTGAAATGTTTGAAGTGCTTCAGCCGCGGCAACAACCTCAAAGACCCATGTGTCATATCTCTCACATTCACAAAGCTCGAACTCCTCCAATAGAGGGAATTTCTTTATTGCATCTGTCAATCCTTTGCTGGTTACATCACAACACTTGGTAAGATGAAGGCTCTTCAGTAAGGGTGCCCTGCAAGGGTAACACATGATCTTAGTGGCTTGTAACATGTGTTCTCTACCTGCTCAAAATCTCTCCTTTTGGTTATTCACGAAAGGAAGAAGCGAAACATTCAGACGATAAAAGAGAACATCTCATCACTGTTCCAGAATTTCATTTGTTTAAAGTTCGTTCTTAAGGAGTACTACAATCCTTGAGACACACCTTTCTTGTATGCAAGAGAGTTATATGTTGCAAATGTTTCTCATAATCACTACTGTAATTGCGATAAGATTAGCAATGTTCAATCTTTTTCTAGTTCTTATTTGAGGGGAAGCTGAATCCAATCTGTATACCAATTATTCCGATCTACATCAATTTACTTTGTTCAGCAGTTATGCCCCTAATTCTAACCCGCTACATCCATAAAACCGGAGAAACGTTTTTGTCATTAGACAATGTCAAAAGCACAGTTCAAGTTTTTTTTTTGTTCCTTCTATTTGGCCGTGAGGAAAAACTTACTGTATAGACACCAGGCAATGCAACTATATGTATACCACTATATAGCGTACAAATAACTTTGGATGACAGCCATTGGATGAAACCGATACAATGGTGTAGACATGGCAAATCCCAGTGCTGCTGACTGTTGGATCTTTTCTTTACTACACCAAATTCTGCCACATGTAGTATCTATAAGATTCTATACATGGTTGGGCTTAGCCCTATGAACATTTTGCACAAAACTTAAAACACAATTATACTTTGTTCTACACTCTTCCATCCTTAGACTTTAACTTCTTTTTGTATCGAGTAAATAGCATAAAACTACTACTTTATAGGCTAGGGTTCCAAAAAATTACCGATTTTTTTCCGCTGATAACTACCAAGTCAGGGGACGGCTGTTTTAAAAAACTCTAATTGTCCAGTGCTTTATTATTGATCATGATTATGACAATTGGGGCCCGCATGTAAGGAAACTGATTGTTTGACTGTTTGTTTGACCGTTAAATGATATCTAGGGCCCATATGTCAGTGTCCCTGCAAACTTAAAAAAGCAATCAGGTCCTCCAAACAAATTGAAAAAAGCCATCGGGTCCCTCCCGTGCTCAAGATCCACAGGAGCGCACCCGCCGCTGTGCTCGACGGGGAGCTCCCTCCCGTCGCGACGGAGCTCCCTTCCAGCGCCGCTGCAGCCGTCGTGCATCCTCTCCCTCTAGTGAGCTCCCGCCCGTGCGTCCTCTCCCTCTCCCTCTTTCCAGGGCACGACGGCCATGGAGTCCGAAGGCGGCGGCCGGAGTCCCAGCCCCCTGGCCATGGCGCGTGGTTGGCGGCGGCCCGTGCTTCTGGGTGCCGGCTGCTCCTCGTGTGGCGCTCCTTCCCTGGCTTGGCGTGTGGCGTGGCCGGCCTCCACGCAGAGACGGTCTCCATGGCCGCGCAGAAGCAGGCAGCGTGGGCAGCAGCGAGGGCCGGCAGCCATGGCCGCGCGAAGAAGGTGGCCATGGCCACGCGAAGGAGGTGGAGCTGGCCTTTATTTTTTCACTGGTGGATGAGAAGAGCTGCACCAGGAGCCGACCTTTGTTTTTTCTGGTCGCCATGGAGGTCAAGGAGCGGCGGCGTGGGCAGCAGGGTGGCCGGCGGCCATGACTTGAGTTGGCGCAGGCGGGGCTGCGGGGAGGGAGGAGAAGAAGGAAGGAGAAGAGCAGGAGGAAGAGACACTGACGTGTGGGCCCCACACGTCAGGTAACGGACAAACTAAACGGTCAAACTGACAGTGAGTTTAGGTGCAGGTCCGACCTGTCAATAGATAAGCACTCGACGATTTGGTCTTCTGAAACAGCCAACCACCCATTTGGTAGTTATTTGAGAAAAACTAAAAACCGGTAGTTTTTTAGAACCCTAACCTGTAAAGTAGTAGTTTTATGCTATTTACTCTTTTGTGTCGAAACTATCATTCATTTTTACTTGGTGTATTTTTCTCTGTATGTAAGGCTACAGATATACCTTCATAAATCATATTTATCTTTGCGGATAATTTATTAAAAATAGCAATGGCTTACTTAAAAAGACGCCTAGACAAAACGTGTTCGACATATTTTACCTGAGTTTTGCATCTTGTACTTCATGCACGTGCCCAATTTTTTTATTTTTCT